AATTAAAAAAAATTATCATGTTGATTAAAAAATTTATTCAGTTACTACTAATTATGAATTATATATAATAGACAAAATAATATAAATAATATACTTTTGAAAATTTTTAAAATATAAAAATAGAATTTAGTTTTTAATGTATTACACACACACACACACACATATATATATATATAATAGTTATATATTTAAATTTTTAATTAATTAAAAATTTAAAATTACACATTACCATGCATATATTTTTTTAAAAAAATTATATATGATATTTTTTTTTTTTACATTTTTATAAAATTTTTATTTACATATAATAATATTTATATTACCTTTTATATAATTATAATAACTGCTAGTATTATGATAAATTATTATTTTAATTTTTAAATTATTAATAGTATTACAATTAAATTCTAAAAGTTTAAAATATTAAAATTTTTAAGATTTAAAAAAAATTAGCCTACCAAGACCGGCCCAGTCCAGGCCAGGTACACTGAGCGTCCCAAAGGGCCTTTTCTCTCTCTGTAAAAGCTGGACCGGGTCAGCCGGTCCGGTTTACATCTCTGCTAACATGTATTGAGATGAAATATTGTAAATATATAATGATGGATAATGATTGGAAAAATGTTAAAAATAAAATGCATATATAATTTTTTAATATCATATACGACTTTATGATTTTATTTAAAAATTTTTATCATATAAATATAAATATAAATATATTAATTACATTTACCAAAATATTTTATAATTATATTTATTAATATAATATTTATATATATATTTCTAATTAAAAAATTAATATTATATATATATACATAATAAGTTGGGTTTGAATAATATTATAACTGAATTCATTTAAAATTATCCCTCTTTATTCTATAAATCCAAACTCGAGATAAACTAGTACTTTAATAAAATATATATATATAATTAGGTTCGGATTGATCAGATTGAACAAATTGAGGTGCAAAATACTATTCTTAAACATAACACGATCATGTAGTATCTTTCAGTCTATTTTAGGTATTATTTGATATTTTTCAATCTAGTTTATAGTAAAAACGATTCAACTAAAAGTTGAATTTAATACACGAAGACTGAATCACGATAAAATTAAAGAATATGGGTACTCGTGTAAAGATGAAGAGTTAATATGCAAATTTTCTAACTATATTTTATAATAATTTTCTTATATTTTATTAATATTTTTTTTTATTTAATCATATATTCCATGAAAACATTTTCCATTTCTTAATGATCATAAAACCAAAAAGAAAATCAAATTATAACAATGATACCCATAAAGATTATTCAATGTATATAATGATTCAAGGGTATTTATAATTCACCACAAGTAAGGTATCTCATCATTCAAAACACACACACACACACACACACATATATATATATATATATATATATATATATGTATATGAGAAAAAAATATTATATATAATTGTAATTAATTTAAGATTGAGCAAATTTGAAAGAATTTATTATGTAAGGGCAAAGTGCAAAGTAATAAACCAAGGAAGAAAATTAAGTTAGAATTTTACTTAATAAAATGGAGGCTTCAAGAATCAAATTTTGGTTCCTTGGATCATTCAAAATCATGAAGGCACATGAATGAAAAATTAGAAGCCTTGAAAGTTTTATTATATTAATTCAATTCTTGGGTAGCTTTCAATTTCAATTTTTATTTTTTATTTTTTCATTTATTAGCTTAATTTTTAATTAAATTCGAATTTATCTTTAGAAAAATTTTAAGATAGTTTTCGAAATAATTTAAAATTTTTAAAATTAAAAAAAAAATTTACTAGTCACCAAACCGATTAGATAGATATATATTTTTTTAAAAAAACAAAAAAAACTTTAAATTTGACACGTTTTAAATCTAATTATAAAATTATACTAACATATTTAATGTCATTATATTATTATCCAAAAAATAATCAATGACGGAATAAAATATTTAAATATAATTAAAAATATATAAGTAAAAATTTTATTCTTATTTAGATACTACAATACGTTGAAAAAATATTTTTTTAAAAAAAATTAAGATTAGAATTTCACTTCTTATATATATATATAT